TTCAGGACAGTATCCATTTGAGGAAAGCGAAAAAGAAAGAATAACTCTTGTCTAAAAGATTGAATCCCACCTCTAGGCATCCTTGTAAATCATCCTGGATGCTAGCTTGACTTGAAATTCTGCTATCTGAAGCTGTACCAGTCTGGGCTATAGCTATAAGGAATGCAATAGTTTCATTTCTCTGTATCCGTATAAAGTACAGATGCTGACTGCAAGCTGACAAAGGCCAGGAATCCCTCTTCAGAGAGTGCCAACCCTAAAACACAGCATTGGTTCACTTGCACATTGGCAAGCAGCACAACACAAAAAGGGAAGTATCTTGAGAGTCACTTTTGCTTCTTCAAAAGCTGTCTTGGAATCTTTTGGTCTGTTTAGCTATGAATCTGAGCTGTGGAACTTCACTAACATCAGATGAATTTCTAATTTAGATCGATTCAAATACTTTGCAAAAAAATTGATTATTATCTAATGACTGAATTATAAGTCCAAATGTACTAAAATTATCTTTCCTGAATTGACTAGCCCTTTCCTTAATAGTACCTAATAAAAGTTTCTTTTAAGATTCTAGAGGATAGTCTTCCAGGTAAAAAGTACAAACATTGAGAAAGAAACATAAGATATAATAATATGTCTTCATGGGAAAAAACATCTATTAAAGTTCTAGCTCAACAGATTTTAATCAAAAGCTTTCCATTTCTTAGGATCCTTCAGGACAGTCTACAGAACACGCTTCGCTAAACAGCTGTATGGAAATGTGTCCTAATAGTGTTTAAAGCAGATGAGCCCTGTCATATACCTTTCAACCTTGGTCAGTAGCATGTCTATTGTATGACCACAACCACATATTGTGGTCCACAATTAGAGAATGAAAAGTTAGACACATCTCCCAGCACATGAAAGCAAAGGACAAAAATGAAGAAAAGAAGGACAAGAGACATGACAGGATAAGAAGTACTTAAGCTCTTCAGTTCTTGTGATATTCCAGTGCTTATAGCCTAGGGGCTGCAAAACCAGCCAAGGAGCCAGATGGTAGTGTTGCTAACCCTGAATCTGTTCCCAGCAGCTTCCTCCAGGTGCAGGGAGAGATTGGTCGAAGGCTAATGTAGTCTTCATTAACTTTGTTATTACCCATACCTAAAGCCATTGATCTGTGAGTTGTGAATGTCAGCCTTCCCTCCCTCGGGCAGCTTGTTGACCAAGAGATCAGGCATTTGTGGTCTCACTTTTAATTCTTTTGTTTGCGGTTCTCTGCTGAAACCACCTTAGAGCTCCATTCTCCAAAGCCTTTTCGCTAACACAGTGTGTGATTTCCCTTGGATCTTGGCGCAGTCAAATTTGAATTTGGTTATATTTAGCTAGTGTCAACTTGAAAAAGTCCCAGCGAATGAGAAGTTAAAAGCCAGTTGCTGTTTATTAGAGAGTCTTTGTATTTGGGACCTTCTCATACCATAGGAACACAGGATAATTCAGGCTGGAAGAGACCTTAGGAGGTCGATGTCTTTTAAATTAGGAATGTCATTTTTGTTCTTTTGGAACTGATCCAGCTTTATCTGCAGGAAAAGAAGACATCGTGAATTTATGGAAGTTTTGACCTCCAGTCTTTAAAAATAACTGATTCAAAAGCACTAACCAAATCCAACAGTTAAATTAAAAATAAACATAAATAAATTACTACCATATATTATTAATCTCCTTGCCCGCAAAACGGGAATGAGGACAGAATCATATATCTTAGTTGTGAAAGTTTCATCTAGGTAGAGAAAAATTATCTCAGATTCTTTCACAAATATAGAAAGTTACTAAAGTCTAAGTATTGGCAAATCAAGACTGCTGTGTTTCAGAAGGCTAGTGATAAAATATAGTGCAATGCTTTGAAAATTTAGGAATAAAAGATGAAAAATGGTTAATGAATTAATCACCTTACCTGTTTTATAAAATGCATTGCATCCTGCTTTCAGGTGGGTGCATGTACTTAAGTAAATTACACTTCATGTTGCTTGAAAGTAATGAATGCTAATAACACCTAATGGTATCTCGTTTCCAATTAGCACTGCCAAGAAAACCTGAGATTTCTAGAACTCATGATCACTATAGTTTCCAAGAACTGTCTGAGAACTTTAAAATTATATAAATAAGTCTTTTTATGCTAAATTCATTTGCTGACTGTTTGCTCCCATAGCTGGGCATAATATGAGTGAATTACATTTTTCTGTATATAATAATAAAAAATAACTTTCAGCATGTAAAGGCATAATCTGTAGCCCACATTTTTAAATGTTATTCATTGTTCAGTTGAATAAAAAATGGAGGACAGCTTTTACAAGTTAATGCATGTAATAGATTATAATGCATATTCAGCAGTATTTACAATAGAGCAGTTTAATGAATGAGCAGTCTGGCTCACAAAATGTGAGCGTAAATCAGGTTCCCTCCAAGAAATAAATTTGCTTCACTTAGGTACTGTTGAAAACACTATCAAAATATGAACTAATAAGGAATTTCAAATACCATTTCAGCTCAAATCTCTCAAAAATGTATATTATTCAGGGAAATAAAGTTGGAGAAGTTAGATTATAATCATGTATTGTGCTATGAATCAGGCATTTTCAGCAATGTGCTAAGTACTGTGCCCACAAACGTCATATATACAGTATACAACGCAACAGTACAGCTCGTTTCTTATTTTAATGGCTTGCCTATTAACTTTGTATATTGTTTATAATGCATATAAGTTCTGAATGTTTACTGTGTAGGATTTTTATCTTGCATCCTTATTGTTTATGTTTGTGTATTTTTTCTCCAATAAAATATACAACAACCATAATGTAGCAAGAAATTTTTAACTGCTCTTGCAAATTTTATGTTTTGCTGGACATTATATTGATGGTAATAGCTCCAGCTCCTTTCCAACGACCACTGAAAGCAGGACAGCTGTTGATAATTTACTGGCCTTTGGACTGGGTCCCAAATGCACTTAGTTTAAAGCTGACCTTTGAATGCAGTCACTTTGTTTCGTAAAATATATCAGGAAGAAATATTAGCATCTTAGCCATTGACAGAAGATGAGAGTTCTGGGGTTTCTTCTCCTGTAATTCTACTCGCTATTCCAACACCCTCCTATACCCAGAAAAGCAGGCAGTATGCCAAAATGCTGGTGCTGTAATTGTATTACATGAGAGTGTTCATGCTGCTGTCTGCCAGATCTTGGTAGTATGTTAGCTGTTTTACACATTTTGAACATTGAGTTAGGTCTAAACCATGAGCTCTCTAGATACGACTAGATAGATGTTTTAATCCTGACACTGCCAGTGCTCTATTTCACCTTACGTAATTCCATAATTTTATTTTAACTGGCTATTAGAATCATTGCAAAGTACTACCAAATGTTTGTTATGTTCAACAAAATAAAAGATATATTCTTCCTGTTTCTAAAATGCTTTGCACCGCTTCAGTAGGAGGGTGCATATATTTAGGTAATTATTTTTCAAGCAAACAGGAATGCTCACATTATCCAGGAAGGTTATTCTCTACTGTGGTTACGTCATATAGAGCTCAGATGGCACTTGGAAAAATCGTTAAAAGAATTAACTTCACTTACATTCAGCTCACTCTTAAGTCCACTTTCTGCTACTATTTTAACAAATGAATTTTATCTCCCTGATATGTATTTCAGAGTACTATGGGCACACGTGAATGACTGCTGGCTAAATTAGTAAATTAGTACATAACAATTATAGTTGCATTTTTCAGTTCAAAATCCACAAATATTTATAGTTGAAAACTGACGATTAGAACCGTGGCTAGCCCGTCAGGGAATCATGTGTCCTAAATCAAAACAGCTTGACTGTCAGATATCAAAATATGTGCAATCAGTGCTCTCAAGTGAGCTACAGCACATGAATTATTCTCAGAAATTATTCCAGGAATAGTTATGAATAACTATTAAGTGTTATGAGGGGTTTGTGAACAAAGAAGTTAAAATTTGTTTGAGAAAATAATTACCATATATTGCTTATTTATTATATTTGTGAATTTTTTTTACTTATGCTCCACTGTCCACTCTGCTTATGTCACAAGTGTAAATGCTTATTTTTTAAACAGTAATCCAAAATGGAAAACTGCCAAAGTAATATTGTTATAAATAGTGTAATAGAGCTGATTATGTGCTTCTGTTGTTTTTGCAAGAGTCCATCTCAGATGGTCTCCAAGGAAAAAGAAATAAAAGTGCTAACAACAAAAAATTAACAGGGAAAGTGTTATATTTTTGTTTAGTTCACTACAGACAGAAGAAATACAATATAGTAAAATCTAAGGAGTTTATAAGTTTTTCTGGGTACTCTGTTTTTTCACTTTCTTGAACCTTGGTTATTTTACATATACCTTTTATTAGCATTGAATATGAACTTTGCATGGATTTAAAGACCTGCCTAAGGAAGAAGGCTGTGGAGAATCAGGTCTTCTCTCTTCAAGCAGTGGAAACATACTTTCTTTTTAAGGAGTAAAGCTGAAGAACTGTCAGTGTCTTCAGTAAAGACAAGTAGTTTACAGTTTCCACACAATATGATATCATGCAGTCAGCTTTAGGGAAAACAAATTTTGTTGAATTTGGTACAGCATAAATATTTGGAAGCAAATGAGATTTGCACCTCTTTTGGTAATTAAACAACAGTGAATAAAAAGTGGAGAGTCAGGTGTTAGACCTTATTTGTGAAAATAGAATTTCTGCCCTCAACCTTTGTCACATCTCCTAGGTTTATATATTTAGAAACAATTTTGTTTTATGCTAGTAGATAAGAAATGTGATGTGCTGTACAATAGCTGTCGCTGTCACTGATACATTTTTCTTCATGATTTTTTTTCAACTATCAGTATACCTGAAATTAGCTGGATTATGTGCTATATGTAACAGCATTAAAGTACATTTCATTTTTTGTGTTATATTTTTGTTCTGAGTTGGTTACCTGTGATAGTAGTAACATGGCTATCTGAATCTGTTACAGCGTGCCTGAGTATTATGACTATGGTCACGGAACAAGTGAAGACGCTTATGACAGCTACGGTAAGGTCTATTCCATCTTTAGCAAAAGTGTGAAATCAAAACAAAATCTGTCACTGGCAACTCAGAAATTACTTCCACCTCCTTTTTTCCCCTCTCTTTGCTTTTACAAAGGCTGAAAGTAAATGTATTTATGTAGTTCTAGGGTGAGATTTGACTTACTAAAGTAGGACCAGAAAATTGGGCAGATCAGTTTTCATCAAAATTTCAAAGCCAGTTAATCACAGTCATAGATCAGCTTTAAGAGCAACACTGAAGTTTCTGATTAGTGCCTGAATATACTTCACAGTGTCAATTTTCAGTCTGCTTGATGTGACAGTACTATGCATCTCTTACTTGCATATGCATCACTTCAACCAGCAAGTTTTATAAGATTTTGAAATGCTCATACCAATGATTCAGAGTGTGTACTTCTCAATCACTTTCCTAGAAATCATTATGAAATTTTAAATATCTACTAGACAGTATCGTCTCCTAAATTCCCCCCTCGTACAATGCCAGAGAACTCTGAAACTAGCAGGGCCAAATACAGGCTTAATCAAAGCAGAACAAGAGGGTGCTCTACTATCATGTGAACTCACGCTGCACCGAGTGATGAAGGAGTACTCTCACACCACGTCAGGCAGTGCAAACAGAGGGAATGCTGTACTGCTTACATGCTGTACTATTTACACGTGTCCCCATCGAGTCTGTATTTGAACAGGAATAGTTCCACTTCACAGGAACAGAAGGTATGAGAGGAAAAGGTGGTATTGCTCCAATGTGTACAGCCCGTTTTCTAAGTCCATTTTTTGATACTAATGATACCAGTGTGTTTAGATGACTAGTTAGAATCTGTTCCATCCTTTACCTGTCAATATTTTTCAATACATTCAGATGGCACAGCAAACCTGACTCTCAGACATCTTCACTGAAGTAATAGGGAAAGGCAGACTATTGTCAGCTTAAAGGCTGGCCCTAGTTCAGTGTAAATATCATGCTTGATTTACTATTACTGATAAAGTATTGTAATTTTACATGGTGATTTCCAAAGTGTTGTGAAAAATAAGAGCTGTTGGAAATGACATTACTAGTAAAAGTTACATTAGCGGGTTATGTAAGGATTGTTGCTTGAAAAAATAATTTTATTCAGGCAGCTATGAAGCAAATTTCAGTGTGATGCAAAGCTGCAGTTTCCTTTGTATCTGTACAGAAATCATCAGACGTTAATGGGACATTGTCAAAATGATTGCATTGCGTAATCAGAAGTAACTTAGTTTTTTGTATATAATCAGTATTCACAGTATATTTGGATAATACAATGTGCAGTCAAGCACATTTTCAGTGCTAAACAAGTAATAGTAACATATTCATATTTATGTATGTGCATCAGTTACCCTTCATTTGGTTTCCTTTTCATATTTATTTTTTTAATATCTGCAGTGAAAGACGTTTCCTCCCCTCTGCAGATGCCCACCTACCCCCAAATAATGCATTGATAAGGCTTTGGGTGATCCAGAAGTGCACAGCTGGAGGCAGTGTTTAATTCTTAACTAGACTCCCCCACACTGATTCCCTATGCGTTTGAGCAAGTCATTTAAAGTAATGTCACTCTTCCATCTCTCATTTGTGGAAGTAGAAGAATATTACTTGCTTTCCTGGAAGGGGGTTGAAAAGGACTAATTAGCTATGGCTTACAAAATGTTCAAAGAGTGGGATCATGGCTAAATTTATGCTCTGCGTGAGGCTACATTTTTTTCCAGTAAGCAGCTGAAACAAACTCAGAATGCCTGGGTTCACTTTGCTAGACTTGTCTCACAATAACAGGTTGAGAATTGTGGGCTTGCATTTCCGCTTAAACTGTTTTCTGAGCCAACATTGGAATATAAAGTTCTGGAATGGTTTTACTAGTAACTGGCAATAAACTTAAAAATGGAGTAATATTCCAATATCACAATTTCTCTACTTTCTGGAACCAGAGGCAGATTTATATCTAAATGTCTGTATTCCTGTTGGTTCACTTACTTTAGCAGATTAGTAAGTTACTAGTTCTGTGCTCTGGAAACCTGTGCATGAGCTTCTTCATCCTAAAGTCACCAGAATTTATCTGAGGAGGTAATTGAGTATATGGAGCTATAGAATATGCGCTTAACTTTCTTGTTTTGTGACTGAATTCTTGGTACACACACTGATGTTCTTCTCTCTTTATCTGATTGCTTCAGTGCCTCCTACCCCAACCATAAGCAATCTTGCACCTCCCCTTCTCATCCTCCTAAAAATTTTGCCCTCACTGCCCATTATGTCTCAGTTCTCTACTTCTATTTCAGGATGTTTCGCTATTCATCATGAGGCTTCTGAATCCATCACACTGCATAAAATCAGCTGCCCCTTCATACCTCACCATCCCACAGAAATCAACACTACCTTTTTGGTTCCCACCAATTCAGTTTCACGTCTTGCTTTACCTTCCACAGCAAGACTATATCCCTCCTTTATAATCCTTTTAGCACACCTCTGGAATTCAGAATTCCCACAAACTTTGAATAAGACTCATGCACTCATATTGTGCATGAACTTAGAACCCATGCCTCTTCCTTCATGTCTTTTAAAAGTTTCGCTTAAGGACCTGTCCCTGCCTCTTTATTCTACCCTGTTATCAAAAATTGACTAACTTGGGCATTTCTTTTTCTCCTATTCATCATGATAAGCTCTTCCAACTTATCTTTAGGGAGGCTGATTCTCAGCCCTGAAAAGGTTTTCTGTTATTCTTTCCACTGGTGTAGACTCCCTCAAATAACAGTACTACTTAGTACTTTAAATTTGCGTTGAAATACAATATAGAGCTCTCTATTTTGTTAAGTACTGTACAACACTATAGTAGTTCCATACAAACTTTCTGCAATTACTTTTCTTTCTGTTTGAACTCCTGAGAAGTATCAGATGTTGTGTTTTGTTGTCTCATGGGTTCTTTCTATGCTCCTTTTGGAAGAGACTGTGATGAATCTGATTGTGGGTATTTTTTTCTCAAAAGTTATTTATTCATCACTTATAGAATATTCATGGTAGGGCTGCAAAAGCACAGTGATGTTTCAGAGCCCACCTAAGATCCATGTCATTCTCTAGAGGAACATCATTCTTTTTCTATATTAGATGGAAGTCCTAAGCAAGAAACAGTCTAAATTACTCATCTGAGGCTAGGCAAGATAAATTCTTACATACTGTTTTCCCTTGTAGAAGCTACAACCTGGGTTAACTACTTTGACTCCTTGTACAGTTTCTGATGTGAAGCTATGTTCCTGAGAATTAGGTTCGCCTGCAAATCCAACCAGGGGACTTCCCAGGCCAATAGCAAAGGCAGCAGAGAGGGATATATGTAAAATCCCACTATTTTCCATGCGTTAGGCACATTTCATGAATGCCAATTCATAGCCCAGAATGCTATCATATTGCTAGACACTTAGACTCTTTATTTCAATTTGTTTTGCTTGACACCCCGTCTCTGAGAAGGATCAAAGTAGATACACTTCAAAGCAGTCCTTGCAGCAGGCCTCTGGGCACCTGGGAATAGTCTCCTAAGGAATTATGAGATGCCTGCAAATTTTAGATAGGTTCAGGATTATGCAGCTACTGGTAGAGAATTTTGAAGATCACTGTTTTGGGCAGAAGAACATAAATTCAAGACATATGCCCGAAAATTTTATTGTGGAACTAGTCCTTATAGGCCTTCTGGTGCAAGTGACAAATATTTTGAAAAGGTAGTTTAAAACTAAAAGGCTAGTCATTTGAAGAATTAGACAATTTTAAAAAACATAAAGCATGTTCATCTCTGATCACACTAAAAAAGCATTTATGATACTTGTCTCACTGAAGGGCTCGATATTTGCAGATATGAATTTAAAGTCAGAAGTCTAAACTAAGGTGACTATTTTTAACTTGATAGTGATGCTTATGTTTTATAACATAAGGCATGAAATTGGATTAATATATGAACAGAAAGTTTGTATCTATGGTCTCATTATACTTTCATAATTTTTCATTTTCCTTCTGGCAGTGGTGTCATTTAAGGAGGTATCTGGTGAAAACAAGAATTTAATGACTTGCCTTATTATAAATAGATTAGTGTAAAATGTATAGCTAAAAATTGGCAGCTGGGTACCTTTCTTGCCCTTTTGTAATGCAATGCCAAAGTGAGAAAAGCACCATGAATTCCCTGGACAGGAACACACTACAGGGAATGCCCTTTGTAAACCATTTGCTTTCTCATTTCCTTCTCCTATGTTCTTCTGCCCTTTTTTTGAAGAAACTAGCATTCTAGATACAAGTACTGTGCTGCTCATTAGGCTGCTCTAGAAAGATAAGAGCTGGTATGACTTGTTAGCAAGGTACAACCTCTTCCTTATAAGCTACATTAATTATCTCTGTCTTGCATCTCTATTGTTTCATCTGAATCCTGTTTCTCCCCTGAATGGATCAGTCAATTCAAGGTTTTATTTCCAATGTTTCTATCTTAGCTCTTTCAAAGGCTGGGGACTCCAGCAGATGAGCTCTGCCAATTCCTGTTGCAGGAGGTTGAGGAGGCTTCTGCCTCTACTTCCAAAGGTTAGCACTGCCATAGTGAGGATGGAGGAAAGTAAGAGCATACCTGTTGTCTGATGCCATAGTTCACAGCCTGATACATGTACTGCCTGGTGTATTAGCTGAAAATGACGGTGATTTATGTTTTTGTGCCAGGTCATGAACTGCAGGATCTGAGAACCCAGCATACATGCACTCCTGTTGCTACTACAGAGTAGGAACCTTAGATAGAGGGTGAAAGGAGAGGGCTGAAGTCTATAACCTCCTAAAGCACTACAATTAAGTGAGAACACCACCATCTGTCTGAGGCCTAACAAGAGTTAGGAAAATTAATCTGTACCTTGTCTCC